GAAAAAAAAAAAAATGTTATAGGGGCCTATAGGGACACGTGTCCCTATAGAAATTAAAAAAAAATGCTAATTATTATTAGGGCTGTTATTATTATTATTATAGTTGTTGACTGCTCAGGCTTTCTCATTTTATTATTATTACTATTTTCTTTTTCTCCTAACAAATCTTGGAATTCCCAACTGTTTTGATGTGGTGTGCAATTTTTAGGTCCATCTCTAGAGTGGGATTAATTAGGCTAAGGCGAGTTTAGTGGTGAAGGTGTAGGTTAAAATTTTTTTTGGACCGATGCTAAATTTGGATATTCGTCCAATAAATAAAGTTTTCAATTGTAATTTTGAAAGTTCTACTACCAACAACAAAAAATCAATAAAAAAAGGAATCTTGATTACGGTCAAGATTATTTTTTAAATTGTAATATCAAACTAGTGTGTGGCTCGTGCGATGCACATAAAATAATATTACGATTGTATTATAAATTAAATATATAAATAATATTAATCCTGATTTATCTATTATTTTTTAATTTAACCGGGTTGGACACAGTCCGGCCGGATAAACCAAGATTCGGTTTATAACCAGTCTAATTCGCTTGAATAAAATATTTGCTCTCGAATCCGTCAACACCAACTGGTTGGACTGGTAGAAATCGATACGATTTTCTAAATAATTTTTTTTATGTTTAAAATTATTTTAAATAAAATCACATATTTAAATAAAATAGATATTTATAAATTATTTATCAATTAGTTTAAACATTTGAATTTATAAATTGTTCAGATATCTAAGTAACACATTTTATTTAACTTAATTACAAATAGTACTATATATATCCATTAAAATGTTTATAAATTAAAATCTGAGCAAACCACAATTAATTTAATAAAATAGCTTGATCGTTTCGATGACGGTCCAGTTCTGAAAACTTTATATTTACTGTACATTAATAAATATTATAATAAAATATTATTTAATTCAAATAAATATTAATAAAATGATATATAAATATTCATAAATCATTAAACATGTTGACATAAAAATATTGGTAATGCGATTATTTCAAGTTTGTACTACATCACATTCACGTAATAAAATATTTTCAATATAAAATTTATATTTAGGGTCAATAATCGATTTGGTGTGGTCGAATTGACACATAACTTAGCCACCTGGGACCAATCAAGTTGTGTCAAGTTTTTTTGACTATTTTAAATATCACTTAAAAGTAATTCAATCAACTTGAGCAGTACCCTAATTCAATCACCCGATTGATTCGAAGAAATTTTCTTATTTTCTTTAAATATATTTAATTTTATGAAATAAAAATATTTTATGATTAATATAATAAATGTCTACACTAAATGAGATATTAAGATTATAAATTATATATCTAAAGATGAATTAATTATCTTTACTTTATGCATATTAATAAAAATAAACATAGTAATTTTTAAAAAATTAAGATTAATTGATTGATTATGCAATTTAAATAATATGTTTAGCGTTCAATATTTTTTTAAAGGCACAAATTTAAAGATCGAGATTTTAAAACTTTTGTTATAATTTGAATTGAGATTTTATAAATATAGAGACTGAGATTTTAATTTTTCGTTGTTTCTAATAAAAATAAAAATAAAAACATACACATTTAATAAATTTTAGCCGGATTTTTTAAATAATAAAATGAACTAAAGCCCGAAATTTAAGGTAACATTTAATACTATATGATTTTTAAAGAAAAAAAGAGAAAAGTAATAAAACTTACTATTAGGCATAATCCTCGCTCCCAAATCGCCGAAACCCTAGCCTATTAGTCTCGCCGTTTGAAACTCCCTCGCCGGAAGTCCAGGCCCGACGGGTGGACGGCCTCCATAGCTCGTCCATGGCGGCGCAACCCTCGTCTCAATTGCTGCTGTTGGGATCGGTTCTGCGCATCGGCCGTCGGAGAGGATTCTCTTCTCTGGTTGCTCGCCGGAGTTCAGGTGTCGTCGGCGCGGGTCGGGGTGTTGTGCTGGTCCATGGACAAGGCTGGGTTAGCTGCTTTTGGCTCTGGCTGGGACGCGCCCATTCTTCTTGCTCGCCTTTCTTGCCACCGGTCACGACCTGTGCTTTTCCGCCGGCGAAGTGGCGATTGGCCGGGGCCGCTTCTTGTTCGGCATCTTGCTATGTCGATTGGAGGTTTGCCCTTGTTTCTGCTGCTTTTGTCTCGGTTCTTCTTTTTGTTCGCGATCGGAGGGACTTTTCGTTCCTTCCTTGGCAAATTGGAATTGGAGGCTCACGATTGGGGGGTCGTAGCTCTGCTGGGATCGGTTGCCGGTTCTGGTTTGTACTCGGCTGTTTAGTTGTGTTCAACCGCTTCGGGCTGGGATGAATGGTGTGCTGTTTCAGGCGGGCTGACTAGGTGAAGCCGAGCCGTGAAGGTTTCTTCACGTGATTGGAGTGCGGGCCAGATCTTCGATTAGTTCAGGGGTGTGGGTACCCATCTTGCTAGGCTTTTCGCAGTGGCGGGCGGTTGTTTTCGCGCTCGGGAACCGTCGTTGGGGTTGGTTGTCTGCCGCCAATCTCGATTTATCTGGCGGGGGAGGCTGTTTGCTTATGTTTGTGTTTTGCTTTTTTCTCTTAGGTTTGTGTTTTTGTTTTTTTAGGATTGTGTTTTTGGTCTGGGCTGTTTGGCCTCTGTGAACCTGAGTGTCACCTTATTATCCCAATGAGATCAGACACTCGGGTATTACTCCGTTGGGGTCCTTTTAGTTGTTAGTTGTTTTAGTTGGTTAGTTGTAGTTGCGAGTTTTCTTCTAGCGGAACTCTAGACGGTCTTCTGACCTGTCCTCCCACTTTTTCAGTTGTTGACTGCTATATATTCAGTCGTTGGCTGCTGTGTATTCGCACATTTGTGCATTTTGATTTATAATATAATCTTTTGTAAGCTGCATTAAATTCTGATAGATTTTTTTGCTACTATTTTTAGTAAATGGTAATTCTTATTATATATATATATATATAGATTTAACTCCGGATGACTTATACCATTTTTTTTAAATTTCAGATGTTTTTATTTGTTAACTGTAATTATAATTTGTATTAGCTCTAAAGTACATGCAATTGGTTTTATTATTAACACAATTTTTATCATACTTAATGTTGATAGTTGAATGATAGTTTAATAACTTATAATTTAAGTAAAGATGTGAAAGGATACATAATGATATAATTAATGTTATAAAATGATAAGATATTCGTGAACGTTAAATTGTGCTCCTCCCATTCCAAATTTCTGCGTCTGCCCCTGGAATCAGATAAACAAGTGAATTCAGTTTAGAGCTCTATCCAATGTACCATAAATACTACATAACAACACAAACAAAATAAATAAATAAATAAATAAATAAAGAATAAAAAAATTCCACACAAATGAAGATACACATTTCAGAACGAGAGATACACGCTTTTAAAGAGAAGAATAAAAATGTGAAAGATTATGCAGCTTGTGGAAATTCCACAAATTCGTGGATTACTTGAAATTCCAACATAAAATAAAAGAAAGAAAACAATTACAACTAGTTAATTTGGATTATTTACACACATTGAAACAAAAACAAGAAGGGAGAACCACCTTGTTTTGGAGAAGTTCGTTCATTTTTATCGTAACTAGTAGATTAATATCCGTGTATTACATAGGTGTTAATAAAAACTTATACGTAAATTATTTATGAAATAGGAATATAATTTTTGATTTTAAGTTTTAAATAATTACAAAAATAACATTAATATTTATATTCAATTAACACTCGTCACTTATACGGTTCACCCTCCTGTACTGTAATAAATATTTTCAATCATATTTTGTAATGGACTTGATAGATAATTTTTATGAACTGATAAATAATTTTATAATTTTTCAGTTACTAATAAAAATGGTAAATATGTATTCATATATGTGTTATGACTGTCAAGTCAAAACTTGTTAAAAGATATTTAATTTAATATATTATAAATAAAAAAATCTAATAACAAGTAGCAAAATTGGTAACTTTTAAAATATATTTATAATTTAAATTAACTAATTTTTTATTTATTTTAAAAGTCATCGATAAACATTCATATGAAAAACTCTAAAGCTCGTGATATCAAAAACCAAAGACGGATCTGTACTGGGCCAGGGGCCCCTCAATATATAATATATATAAAGAAAATACTAGAAAATATGTATAGAAATGTAAAAAAAATTACAATATATTAATAATTAAAATATATTTTTTATGATATTTTAATTCAAATTAATAATATTATTTATTTATTTAAAAATATACTAATAATCCTTATATTTTACATTTCTATTGTTTTTGAAAATATTTACGATGATTTACTCTTTTTGTCTTTTAATTGTAAATCGATTTAGTGATTTATAAAACCCAGTATTTAGTTAGATTATTACATTTTTTAATGTTGATTTTTTTTACTTTTATTTTTTTCTATGTAATCACATATTTTAAAATTTATTTATTTTTTTTTTTTGAAAATTTTTTCATTTGATAAGCTCTCATAAAAATGTATTTTCTTTTTAAAAAATTGTTCGATAAGCTCTCATAAAAATGCTATGCAATGTACAACAAAAGTTCAATTTAAATTAAATTTTCAACAAAAAAACATATTTTTCCAAAAACTATATGTTGAACATAAATTATAAAAATACATGTAATCTCATAATATTTTTGTTTATTTTTTTTTTAAGTTTGAGGGTGATACGGATTCTAATTTTTTAAAAACTTCGATGGTACACATATCAATATTTATATTTATAATAAATATATTTTTATATGAAATGAGAGATTTAAACTATAAGCTCGTTATAACATTTAAATTTGGGCCCCCTCTGAATAAAATTTCTAGATCCGTTATTGCATAAAACCATATAAGATTTCAATAAGCTTTCTTTGGGTAGGACGAGCTTTTTAAAAAAGCTCGAACTTATCTCATAAGTTTCTTTGGGTAGCTTTTCAAATAAGCCCGTTGAAATTTTTATTTCAGCTAGTATATCAGCTAATTTTACCAAACACTTTTATCATATAAGCTAGCTTTTGAGCTATAAGTCATAAGTTATAAGTTATAAACTCAAAAATTACTAATAAACTATAAACTAACTTATCAGCTAGTTTTATCAAACATAGCCTAAACTTTGACAAACCATGCATTTATATGTATAGAGATATTTTATTTTTAGGAAAATTAGATACAAGCCCTTATTATGTGACAGTTTGATATATTTCAAAAAATAAAATAAATAAAAACCCAAATCCCCTGCCCGCTACATATTTGTACTTCCCTTTACGAACCCAAACCCTAAAACGTCCATAAAATATGAGCCCCACATCCCCCAAATCCCATTCCCCATTGATTGCCGTAAAAGATTACTGCTACAACACTCTGTATCATATGTGCTTGCTAAAAAATTATTATTAAATTTTAAAAATAATGAAGAATACTTAAATATCTTTTTGTTAAAAAAATATATATATTATTATATATTTTAGAATGATACTTGATACTTGTGCGAATTACATGTGTTATATTATAATAATTCTTCTAACTTATATCATATAACTACTTTTAAATAAAAATATATTAATTGATAAATGTGCGTGGACCACATCAAATTATTTGGTATATATCTATATATATATATATATATATATATATTGTATTTACTTGAATCACATTGTAGTGAAATTGAATTTTTGAATAAAAATTTTAAAATGACACCTATTTTAAAATAATTTTAACGTAATTTATTATAAGTTACTTGAACCATACGAGTCGTGACTAATTTTAAATAAACATGTTTTATGTAATTTTACACAATTTAAATTTCATATAATATTTTCAACAAATTAATATAGGTAAATTGTATTACATATTTTAAGCTAGAAATTATAATATTTTAATTATTGATTTAATTAATATGATTCAAAGATAATTATTCTGATTATTATTTTTATATTTAAGTGCTCATTATTCTAACATAATGTTATTTAAATTTGTTTGTGCCGTATGAGTAGACAGATTAATATGTGGAGTATGATGATCCACGGATTGCCTTTTCTTTTCGAATCCAAAGAATTAAATTAAAAATCATATCATAAAATTGATCTACATACCTTACCATAGTTTCACAACCAAACAAAAAGCTTCCATTGTGAAGCACTTTTAGAATTACCCAAAATGAAACTAAACAATTCAAAAAAAAGAAGCCAAATAAATAAGCCATGTGAACTCAATCAGTAACACATTGTGGACTGATTTTTACCCGTTATTGCCTTATAGTTTTACCCTTCAATTAAAAAAATACATAATTACACTTAATAAGATGTATTAATGTGAGAAGTAAAAAACATTAATGATAAATTTTGTAACCGAAAATGGAGGGAAAATTTTTAGAGGTTTTATTAAATAAGTTTTCTTAAATGCTATTAGCTAGTAATTATATATACTAGGATTCGACCTTGTGCATTTGCACACATGTAAATAAAATTAAATATTATAAGTTATATTTATGTATATAATATAAAAATTATAAGTTATACAATTGTATTATATTTCAAACATATAGTATTATAAATTATATTTATGTATATAATATTAAAATTATAAATTATATAATAGTATTATATTTTAAAATTTGATCATTGGTTAAAATAAATAGTACACACGATTTGATTGTATACGAATCACTATATTGATTGCATAAAATGCAATAAATATATACTTTTATAATTTTGAGTGATAATAACCAATTAGCTGAAAAATATTACATTTATTATAACAATTGCTTATGTGATTTTAAGAAATTTTACTATGACATAAAAAAAATTAATTTATTAATAAACAACATCTTCATCATATAAAAAAATATTGATTTTAGTGTAAAATATAATTTTATGTAACTTTCATATATTATTTAGTATAAAATATAATTACTAATTTTAATATTAACTATTATATTATTCAATAAAAAATATAATTATTAATCAATTAACATAAAATTTAATAGTTTTTATCTTAATTAACCCAAAAAATATAATGAAATATTTTCTTATTAATGAGATTGGGTGTATTAATGCCACATAAATAAAATTTATTAGGTTCTATTTATTAGGTTTAATTACTGATTTGCCACATAGGTAAAATTTATTAGGTTTTATTTATTAGGTAAAATTTATTGCTTAGCTAGCAATTATATATATATATATATATATATATATATATATATACATAGATATAGATATGATTTCATTGAATAAAAATAGGTGTTCATTTAATAAAAGTTTGTTCATCATTTAACAATAATATGTAACTTTCAGTTATACAATTTATTTTGACAGGTCTCATTTTGGATGGTACCCATTTCTATAATGCCTTTTTATGTCATGAATACAAAAAATTTTATTTTTATTTTGATAATATATATTTTTTAGTATTATATAAATACATATTTCACAATTAATTAAGAATGACTACAACTATCTATATTTTCTATTGTAGCCCTACAATAATTAAAAAATATTTTTTTTTTGATATTACAAAGATACATCAAATATTTTGAAAAATCAAATCCCAGAGTCACGAGTCGAAGAGGTTTAATTTGTTGTGATGGGGATTCCGACGATAGAAAAACCACGAATGTTGTATATAAAAAAATATTTAATAATATTTAGATTCACTTTTTTTAAATTATTTTTTTCTCATTTATTAAGTTATGAATTTTATTTTATTCTATATTTTTAATTATTTTCTCTTATATTATATCGCTTTTCGTGCAAACGCACGGGGTAAAACTAATATTCAAATAAATGGGAACATATAGGTGAACGTAACTCTCTTTATGGCTGAAATGCCTTAAGCGAAAAACAAAGAGAAAAAAGAAAAAAGAAACAAAAATTTGAAAACTAGATAAGCTACACGTAGTAGTTATTGGGCTTTTTTATTTCCTCAAGAGAGGAAATTGCACCCTACACTAGAATGATTAACTTTATTTACGTTAATAACATCCGATGAAATTTATTAGCATTAAAGCAAGAAATCATGATTATATTTGCATTTTTACTAGATTTCAGTTGCTTCAATATATGAATTAAATAATCAATTAGTGGCTAAATTTATGGAAAACTTTATATGAATTCTCTCACCATATCTTCCCATCAAAGCATCTTCACCCACAGATTTCTTCCTTCGACCCAAAAGCTTCTCTTCTTAGCCACCTCCAATGGCGAAATCATCAAAAACCACCGTCGCGCCGCTGCGCTACTTGACCCTGCGAACATTCCGTCACTCAATGGGGCAAAATCTTTCCACGCTCTCGTCACCACAATGGGCTCGTTCCCAAATCAAGACCCTGTTTTCCTTTACAACAATATCATCTTTAAATACACATCCCTCGGCGAGATCGATATGGCCCGCAAGATGTTCGATGGAATGCCACAAACAAACGTCGTCTCCTATAATACCATGATAGGCTGCTACTGTCGGGCCGGGTTCATACACGTCGTCTCCTAGGTGATTCTCTTCGTCTCCTCCTCCCTTGGCGGCGATGGAATTTTGGGTAAAAAATTGTTGGTTATAGATCTGTAATACATTTTATTTTCTTCTCCTCCCATGGCGATTTACTGTAGATCAATCTCCCGATTTACTGCTGAAAAACGAGGTTTCGATGATTAATAATTGATGATGTTTCAGGTGATGATATTTTAGCTTTTTTGAGAATTTTTTTGTTTGATTTATTATGTTGTGGGATATGTTGCGGATATATACAATATATTTTTCAGTATATGTTCTTGTAAGCACAATCGGCAGTATATGTTGCGTGTATATGCAGTATATGTTCAATATATTTTTCGTTTCCCATATATGCTTCGTGTGTTTTTCATCTGGCATGTGCTTCATTTGTTTATCATATACTCTACATATACTAAAATAATTTATTAAAATAATGATTATTATCAGTTTATGATTTGTATATGATATGTTATATACTGAACAAAAATTCAACTATCACAATTGTGGTTACATAAAAATGCTATGTAAATAAAAAACCAGGTTATATACTGTTTATAAACATATACTGAATATATACTACCTATTAAAAAACCTAAGAACTGAAAACCAACGATCTGCGCAAATTAAGGAAGCAGCAGTTACATTGAATTGAACACCCTAATTAGTAGGATATCTAAATTACCATATATATATATATGGTAATCAAGCGCAAATTAAGGGGAGACGTTGCAGTATATGGTAACTGACAATAGGAACTAATCTAACTAAATCTTATGTTTTAGGTAAACACGCAATTATTTTTAGTGGGATTGTACATTTACAATATTTATTGAATCGTGAAGTATGTGTGTAAATAGCTTTTTTTTTTTAATTAAAAAAAAACACACATTTTGTGACTTCTCCATTTTAGTATATTTATTTAGGTTTAAAGATATTAATTATAGATATAGCTCATGCCTTTGCCACATGGATACCATTTGACAAGTTACAATACGCTTTGTTTACGAGATAATAAATTGATAAAATTTGAGCAAATATATGCGAAGTTTGCATGACGGTAGGCAAAAGGTGTGGTCGTTATTGTGTGATGAGTGAAACGCTACATCTAATTTATTGAGGGAATAATTTACTATTTATAGTGGAAAAATAATTTGTATTTTCTCATAATACAATGCCAATAGAACAATAAAAAGAATCATTTATTTAATTGAAAAAAACAAAAAATAAGTGGACAAAAATAAATCAAAAAAAGCTGTGTGCAAAAAATTCAAACAGCCGGATTCTGAGAATTCGTGTTTTAAGCGGATTCTCAGAATCCATTTTTGCTTAATTCCGAGCAAAAAACAGATTTTCAGAATCCGTCTTTCCTTAATGACGTGATTACCCGTAATTAATTCAATTAAACACGTGTTATGAAAATCTGTGTTAACTAACACGAATTTTCAAAATCCGTTTTACAAATGAACACGGATTCTGAGAATCCGTGTTTATTTATTTATTTATTGTTATAAACACGGATTCTTAGAATTCGTGTTTATGTATTTTTTTTTATTTTTTTTTAAGTTAGGCTTGACTCTTGGATGCTCACGAACTCGTTTACCAGCGATCGTGTTTATTTTGGCTGAATTTTTATTCTTATCCTTCAATATGAAGGTTTTTTATATAAATTTTGATTTAACATTTTGAACATGAAATAATATCACTTTAATATCAATTCATTCGTCAAATTATAAATCTAGCATGCATACATACATGAAACAGTATATACAAAAAGACAACCACAATTACCGACAAAAAAAAGGGAACCACAAAATATGTACTCAAAACTATCAAGAATAAATATCTGAAAATCTAGTACAAAAAATAAAAGAAAAAAAGAAAATGTCCCCAAAATCACATAATACAAAACAAACTAACTAGGAGTAAATGTGTTCTTAGGCTGGCGTTTTCGGGACCCTCTTCGGGGCCCCGGTACCAAAGAAGACGATCCTGCGGTCGGCCCAGGCGTGGCTGGTTCTTCTTCTTCACCTAATTAATTAATTTTTGTAAAAAATCAGTAATTCGACCGGACAAATAAATAAAAGCAAACAAAAATAAAATATATATTTGTAGTTAAATAAAAAAATCTCACGTTCTTCGACTTCTTCATTCTCGGAGAATGCAGCGGCGGGTTCGCGGTCACGGCGTCTTCTACCTCCACCAATGTGGGGCGCCGGTCTATGCCTCGCCCGCTGGGACTGTGTCTGCTGGGGTGGGACGTACTCCTCTTGAGATAGAATTTTTCCCGACGACGCCCCTTGTGTGACCGACTGGCCCCCAACAATCAGAGTAGCATACAGAAGTTGCTGGGCTTGCTGGAACCCTTGCTGCGCTCAGGGAGGTAGCGTATCAAACACGTCTTCAAGGTTCGATAGCGTGTTATACGTCCCCTCCGTACCCGAATTCTGAAAATTAAATTCAAATAACTATTCATTATGAACCGTATAAAAAAATAAGAATAATAATAATAACTTCAATAATAATAATAATAATAATAATAATAATAATAATAATAATAATAATACAAAACACAAATTAGCAGACACTTACCTGACACTTCTCCCGGTCGGCATATGGCTGAAACCCGTCGTCCTCTGAGATCGCCACGTAGTTGTTAGGGTCATTGAATAGTCTCACAGTCCTACTGTGATACTAATCAATGTACCCCTCTGCCGGCTGCAGGAAGGGATCCACCGGTACATCTGGGAGGACATTCTGATCTCTCTCTTCGGTCCATATCCTCCCAAGATCAGAATGGAAGGCCCGCCAATTGGTATATGCCCTCCCAGTCATGCCCTGGCCTTTGTGGTGGGTGTCCCAGTTGGCCAGACTAGCAATGATCGGCGTCTGGGGGATGGGCTGGTGGCACCCAAACTGGCGGAGCACCCTATCAGGCTGGTGGGGTTCTGCGATGTTCCAGCAGAAGATCCACCCCTTGTACATGCAGAGATGTCGGTCTGGTGTACACTGGTCCGTGAGCCGACCCTCGTCTATGTACGTCTGATAGGGTACCCAATCGAACTGTAAAAAAAAAATATTTATCGAATTATTAATGAATTTAATAAAAAAATAATTTAAAAAAAAATAATTATTTATTATTATGACCTAAGAAACTTACATTAGTCTCTCTCAGGTCACTCAGTTGATCTCGAATGGTAGCCGTGCCCGTCCCCAAGTGACTCAAGTCCCTCGATCCCACCCACCTTAAAAATCCCAGAAAAAAAACTATTTGTAATTACAAAATTTGATAATTGAATAACTTAAGTTAAATATAAATAAAGGTTATTATTACCTTGCACCCAAGGACAACCAGCCTGGGAGCCGAAATGCGTTCTCTTCATTAATGGGCAAATACGAGGGATGCGTTCCCATGCCCAAACCTGCACATATGGACATATACATTTTTTAGCACATATTATTATAATTTATAATAAATAAAATTAATTTACTACTAACAAGTAAATAAATTTACCACGCAGCTCTTGATATAATTTTCCTCCCTCTAGTAGGCGTCGCAGAGCGCTCTATATACCCCGGCCAGAAGCGCTCCACCCCAGCTGTACCCCGGAATGGCATCGATGACAGTCAACAGGGACAGCCAGTAAAGGTTGACTCCGCTGGCCCAATGGTCGGGGAAGAAGAAGGACCCAATACACCAGAGTATCAGGGCTCTCGCCCTCCTCTCGTACTCTGATGTAGAGAGTCCATCCTCCAGAGGTCTCTTGCACTCGTCTTCCAGACTACTAAAATACAAGTACTGGTCTGAAATGTCCCAAGTCTTGGGGTCGTAGTCCGGGTCCCCGAGATCCTTGAAATACGTTAAAATATATATATTAAAAACGACTCATGACTTAAGTATACATAAACAAAATAATAAAAAAAAAAAAATAAGCAAAAAAAAAAGTTTTAGGTATAAATATACCTGTACATATGGGAGGTACCCTAGAGCGTCAACGCAATAGGCTCTCCACTCTTGGGGAGTCCGCTGTAGGGTTTGTCCCCAGCATGCATCCCCGCTGACGTGGAGGCCAAATAGTATCTGAACGTCCTGGAGAGTGATCGTGGCCTCCCCGAAGTCGAAGTGGAAGGTGTGTGTCTCCGAACGCCACCTCTCCAGCAGGCATGTAATGAGGGTATTGTTTGTCGGGACCCGCCCCATCCGAAACAAAGGCCCGAAGCCGGCCTTCTCGATCACCTCCCAGGTCCGGGCATTCTGCTTGTTGCCCTCCAAGGCAGCCCAGAACTGGGTGTCCGCACGGCGTGGCTTAACCACACCGTGGCGAAACCCCGGAGCGTCCTCATATACCGCCTTGGACCGGTGGCGGTTCTAAAGATATAGAAGTGAGGGGTCACTGGGGCTGGGGTGTGGGGTGTAGGGTTGAGGGTTCGAGGATGACGATGCCATTTTCTGCAAAAATGACCGAGATTGCAATAATTTGAAATATTTTTATATAAAAAAATTTTATAATTTTGTGAGATATATTTAATTTTTTTTTTTGTTCTTTTGTATTTGATCGGCGCACATGACCCAGCAAATCGATTGGAATTATTCAGGAATTTTTTCAGTTGAATTATGGATGTGTTGCATATTGGTTTGTTGAGTACAGCCCAGCTGTTTTATCATATAAATAAAAAAATTAGTCATTAATCCATGATTTAATTATAGTTAATTCACGAATAATTTTTCTTTAAAAAAATAATATTCCTAAAGATGATTTGAAATTAGAATTGTATTATATTTTCGTTTTCACCTATTCTTCGATTTCATTATCGTAACCCTATATTCAACCAACACGGGCGAGCACAATATTCACCAATATTCACAATCAACCAACAATATCATCGAGCACAATATTCACAATCAATCAACAATATCCACCAATATTCACAATCGAGCATAATATTCTAATTTCAAATCGAAGATAATATTCGAGCATAATATCTTCACAATCGAGAATAAT